CCCCCCGCACTTGAAGAAGGGATTGATACAAAGATTTACTAGCTTGGATCACCTGTAACATTTTGGGGGGACATTGTTGGACCTTTTCCTTCTCACCTAGAGGAGAGAATGAAACCTACAGACATCAGCCAGACTGTGCTTTTTAATCCCTTAACTTTACCTACCATGGCCAAAGCAACCAATGGATCCAATGAGCCAACTCTTCTAGGACTGGAGCTATCATTTTTAAATTACATAGATAATCTTCACCTCACAACAGATATCATTTCAGCAGCTGTTTCATACCACAGATGGCTATGTAGCCCCTGGACATTGAAGGTTCATCCTGGTGTCCCCCTCATCCTTCCTTTCCTCAAACATCGCTTTAGCCACATTTCAGCGAGTCAGGGTGGTTTTAGGAAGTCCTGCCTCTGACACCAACTGTCACTCCTCGTTTGGGAATTTGCTAGAGTTTATAGGACTCCACATATAGTTGTACTTATGGATAATATTTATTGCACCAAAGGGTTACAAAGTAAAATCACAAAAGAAGAATGGTGTCCTGGGTGAATCCAGAGGAAACCAGAAACAAGCTTTCAAAAGTCCCATAGGATGGGCTTAATTCCTCCAGCAACGGGTTGTGGGAATACATGTGAAATGTTGTCTACACGTTTATTAGAGACTTAGGGCCCAGGGTTATTACTGGGTGCTGATCATGTAGGCTGGGCTGAATGTTCCTGATATTCCAACATTCATATGTTGATGCCTAATCCACAGTGTGATGGTATTTGGAGGTGGGGTTTTTGGGAGGTAAATAGATCATGAGGGTGGGAGCCCTCATGAACAGGATTAGGGCCTGTGGTGGTTAATTTTTATGTCATTTTTACCATCTAGGGGAGCCCGCATTGACCATTAATTCTTAGTGGCCTGTAAGGGTGTTTCTAGAGGGGATTAGCACTTGAATAAGTAGGACTCAGTAGATTGCTCTCCACAGTGTGGATGGACATCATTATTCAATCCATTGAGGGCCTAAAGGCAACAACAGGCAGAAGGAGGAATTTGCCCCTTTTCTTCCTGCCTCACTGCTTGAGCTGAGACATCTCATTTCGTTGTCTTCTGCCCTTGGACTGGGATGTAGACCATTGGCTTCCCTGGATCTCAGACCTTTGGATTTAGACTGAATTATACCACTGATTTTCCTGGGCTTCCAGTTTGAGAGGGCAACTTGTGGGGCTTCTCAGTCTCTATAATTGCATGAGCCAATTCCTCATAATAAAGCTATTTCTAATATTTAAATAGTTTCTGTCTGTCTATAAGCCACTAAGGAAAGGAAGAGCTCACAACTCTAAGAGACAGATACCACTCAAAGAGGTTTTAAAATAAAGTCCTATTTTCCCCTCAAAATACTTTAAAGTAATAATTAGGTACTATCTCCTCTGGTTTCTCTATCCCCTGACCATTGGTTTATTTATTTTTATTTCAGAAATTGGAAGAAATGTCACCCTTGTCTTAGAAGGACTTAAAAAGAAAAGGTTTATTCATAGTCAAGTTTTGTGGACAGACCTAGTCTTGCTTCTGCAAGAGAAGTGATCTTATTTCTTTCTTTAATAACAGAGACAACCAACAGTGATGACATACAGTTGCAGCTTTTCCTTCGTCATTGGGGTCACTGAGAAGCAGACGTCCTCCATTCTCTAATACAAATATTGCTGTTGACGTGAAACGTTCAGACCTATAGAAAATTTTTTTGAGTTTATTTGAGCCAAACTGATGACAATTGCTGGGATGCAAAATCTCAATGGATTGAGAAAATGCTCTGGGAATGACAGTGTTGCAGCTTATTTTATATGTTACAATCAGAAGAGTGTTACATGAAATTCATTGATGGTAGGTTAGGGAGGCAGGAGAAAGCAAAGCAGGAAAACTTCTGTGATAGGATAAAGAATAAAACAGAGAGACAAATACTATTGGGAACCATCCCACCTGGTTTCAGGAACTGTAGCCTTGCCGACAGGCAAGAGGGCTCCAAGGCTGGAGCTGAGCAAGGAGGCCTTGGGGAAACAGGCCACTGAGGAGGCCTCCCTCACATCACCTGGCTTGGCCCTGCAGGATGGCTGGTTAGTCAGTGATGGGTAAGACCCCTCGATGGCAGGGGCAGCCTAACACAGGCACAGTCGCATGGGGCATCAGGGAAGGACTTGGGGCAGACAGAGAAGGGGCAAAAGACCCTCACCCCTCAGCTTTGATATGGCCAGAGTCCTCATTCTACCTGAAAGAAGTCTCCTTATCTCCCGCCTGGCTCAGGCTTGAAACAATACTAAAGGCAGGTACAGCCTAAACTGAATCAGGTGGTTCCCGGGGACAATTAGGCCTGGAAAAGGAATGCATTAAATCCTATGAAACTTCCTTTGCTAAGAATGCTCTCGAGTTAATGAGTAGTGATGTTTGGGGTCAAGCATGGAATGTGATCAGTTTCCCAAGTGTCAGGGCTGAATGGGTGTCACCCTGTCTACCAGACCCTGACTTGAGGCAAATCTCTTGTGTGCCTTCAATTGTTATCTATGATCTCTATTTGTTTTCAGTAAACAGAGCCTTTTGACATTGATTGATGAGCTTTGCATCCAAGTGGTGTACCCCTGTGCATATGGTTCTCAATAAAAGCTACTTCAAGAAAAGGGCTCAGGGCATTCTCCACTAGAGGGAGCCACCCCTTTCCCTGGCAGACTGAGAAAAGTGTCTGGGATGACTTATTTTATTTCCCCATCCATGATGACCTGGAGCGTACTATGTGGGACAGAGTCCACCTTCCTCCTCGCTGGCACCCAGTGTGGGGCCTCCAGAGCCCTCCTCAAAATACTACGTTTACATTGGTGAGTATAGGACAGTTAACAATTAACACTTACAGTACATGGAAATAATATGTGGGGAACAAGATCACAAAGAGGGGTTCTGTGGTCTTACATTCTGGTTCAATGGATGTACCCTGAGGGGTCCAGGAAAAGGGGATTGCTCTGATATTCCAAGGGTATGTTATTTTGTTTTTTAAAAGATTTTACTTATTTATTTTCAGAGATAGGGAAGGCGAAGGGAAGGAGAAAGAGAGGGAGAGAGACATCAATGTGTGGTTGTTTCTTGTACACCGCCCACCAGGGACCTGGCCCACAACCCAGGCATGTGCCCTGACTGGGAACTGAACTGGCCACCCCCTGGTTTGCAGGCCTGCGCTAAACCCACTGAGCTACACCAGCGAGGGACCAAGGATATGTTATTTTAGATGCAAAAGATAATAAAATGGCCTATTTAAGGTAAAGATTGACCTTTGTCAAGGAAGCTACAGGCCTATTACATGACTACTATCAGCACTTACTTTTAATGAGTAAGTTTTATGTTCAGACCATCCTCTGATTATTGTAGGTCGCTGAGTTTGTAAGGCCGCAGAGCAGGCCTCTCCTGAGCTTGTCAGGTGTAGTATGTGGCCACTTTTCATTCACGTTACAAAATAACAAGCATGCATCTCTGTATTTAAATCAAGAAATAAAAATGTTGCAAACCACTTTATGCTCTGGTTATTTTCCTTTAGTAGCTTATAAATTGTGGTAACATGCTCTAGGAACATTGATCACAATTATCTTTCTTTTTGCTGCTCAAGGAAGAATTTTCGCATGGAAAATTGCTAAGAATAGCTCTGTTTAAAAATGCAAGATTTTTCAAAGATCTATTCGGAATACTGGAAGAGTGGTGAAAAGAGCGTAGATGTTGTTATTTTACTACATCCTTCAAACTTGGTTGTGCAGCTTAGTAGTCATTTCCCCTTGGGCAAGTGATGGCCTCAATTTCCTCAACCATAAAATGTAATACAAATCTTCCAGTCGCAGGGTTGTTATAATGAAAACAGCATATGTAAAATACTTGACTCTGTACCTGGCATAAAGTAGGAGCTCAATATATGTAATATTCTCCTTCCCTTGAAAAAAAAGGGGGCTACTAAAAGCCAGGGACCATAATGTTCACAGAAGATTCATTTATAATAGTCCTACTGGAAAGAGATCAAATGACAGCCACAAATGACCATCAGTAGTATATTGAAAAAATGTGGCATAGTCACACAATATAATACAATACAGCATGAACTACTGTTACTGCAAAAGCATGGATAAATCTCACCAACATAATGTTGAATGACACAAAATAATGCATTCTGTACAATTCCATTGAAAGAAGGTTCAAAGCAGGCAAAATTCCTCTGTGGCGACAGAGGTCAGAAGTGGTAAGGTTTTGGAGGGAGGAGGGATCGGAAAGAAGGAGGGGGCCTGATAGGGCACCAGAAGTGTTCCGGCTTCAGCTGCATGGTGGTGGTGATACAGGGCTAAATGGATGTGAAAATTCATCAGATCATGCACTTAAGATTCGTACATTTTACATGTAACTTCTTTACATTTGCATATGTATAAATAATGTCAATTAAAAACCTCTCCCCTTTGTCCCAGGAGCTGGATGTTATATCAATGTCAACTTATTTATTAGGAGAGTATCTGCTCTGGATATGGCATGCCAATAGCTGGCCATCGTGCAGGCTGCAGTCCGTCCGTCCCTTGTGAGTGGCCTCGTTTTAGAGCCAGCCTGGAGCTGGCAGGCATATTATGAGGGTCACGTACTATCATCATTGACAGCTGGAGATGCCACCACCGGCCGTCGGCAGCAAAGCCCTGGGAAAATCAGGCAGTGGACTGTGCTCCCCACCCTTAGGCTGTGAGACACAAGGCCTGGCAATGGAAGGATTAAAAAGCCTCTCAATTTAAGACTGGGAGGGGGTGCGGGGGAGGCGCATGTGGGCTGCACAATTTATAAATAGACATTGCCCAGGGCTGCCGTATGGTGAAGGGGTTGTTTAGTAAATCTTTCTCCTTTAAGGATCCCATCATCCGAGACCATTTGAAAATACCAGTTAGTTTCTTCGGCTTTTGGAGATCCTAGGTTTCATCAAGGTAGCTGAGTTTGATGACATGTCTCTCTGACAGATTTAGGGACAGGCCCTGGACATTTTGCATCACCTTTACATGGAGCATAAAGATGATGATGATGATAATGACGATGTGACTTTTGCCAAATGGATGAGCAGCTTCTGGGGTCATAGCTGGATGGAGGAGGAAGAGAGAAGACTCCGGGACCGCCGCGGATCGCAAGGCAGCGGTCACAGGAAAGCCTCCCTGCCCTGCGCAGTGAGTCGTTACCAGGGAACGGAGGTGGGGGGCGGGGGGCGGCTGGACCGGGGGAGGGGGTTTCTCTTAGATCATTTGAAGAGTCCTTTGGTATAAAGTTTTCGTTCACTGAAAATCAATACTTCCAAATCTTTTTTTTTTATATCCACAAAAATACCTTTTACCATTTTGTCTTGTCCTCCAAGGGACCTGACTTTTCTTCTATTAGGTAAAGATTTCTTTATTGTTAGTAACCTAAGATATCTTTAACTCCTGGTAAATCCGAGGTGATCCTACTGAGTGACAATGTAGTTCAAGTCAAAGGAAAGAAACTTGATGTTATCATAGTTAGTCTGTGTAGCATTGATGCGGATCAATATATGGTCTCCACTAGTCTTTTTTAAAATTGATTAGAGAGAGAGAGAGAGAAAACCCATTTATTTGTTGTTCCACTTATTTATTGCTTGATTCTTGTATGTGCCCTGACTGGGGATCAAAGCCTCAACCTTGGCATATCAAGAGGATGCTTTAGCCACCAGAGCTACCTGGGCAGGGCTTCAATGGTCTTTTTGAAATACTGAAAATAGCTTCACTATTTGGTGACTTTTAAGAAACTGGGGATTCCACATAATAAATCGCCCCCTTTGCTAGATTTGATACACTTTGTCTTCTGGTTCCCACTTGGTTTCCTGGGAGAGGGAGCCAAACCTCTCCCACCCACGGCACTACTTCCCCATGTCTAGGCAGAGCCCCCAGTGTCTAGGGGGTAAGATGTGAGCAGGAAAGCTCCTGAGAAGGAAATGGGTGGGCCTGGTGAAGTGTAGACTCATCAGCAGGTACAAGCAGGATTCTCTCTATTCGAGTGTGGCGGTAGGAGACTCTGCAGGAGACATGTGTGTCCTCTGCTTCATAGTTACACGGTGATACTGTAGTGTTCCTTTGTTGTAAGTCACTTAGAATTCCAGTTACCAGAGAATCCTTCTCCAACCCCAGAACCAAGTGAGTTTTGGGGTATTTTATTTTATATTTTATTTTATTTTATTTTTAGCTCCAGAGTTCTCAGATGCACACTGCCTGTGAAGTATGTTGAAGTGTGCAAGGGAACCTCTTTTATTCCCAGTGATCAGCATGGTGGAGGAATGGGACTTCTTTGAGACGTGAATGTTGGATAGATCTCTTACCAAATGTGTGCTCAAGAACAAAAGAGATTGGACTGGATGATCTCTGAGAACCCTTCTTGCTTAACTTCCTGTGATCCTGTTATAAAACAAACACCTGCTTATCACACTCTCATTTTAATCTCTATGTTCCACATTGAGTGATGTATTCATAATGCATGAGCCAGGGGTATGATTAGTTTCCAGTTTCCAGGGAGAAACAAAGAGAAAAGAATGTGATTTACTATTTATCCCAATAGCCCTTTGGAGCCACAGAAAATATGAAAACAAAGGAAGATATGTGACATAAAGTATAATTTCTTAAATAAAACTTACTGTCTATTAGATTTTAAAAACTGAGATAACCTATTTACAGAATCTAATTTTAGGTTGAGATATATATATATATTGCCTTAAGCTATAGGAGAATAGCAGAATTTGTTATGTATAACATTTTGAAACGGTGTCCCTATAACTTTTTTGGCACATACTGGTTTTGGGCATTTGCCTGAATTAACCTGTTCAGATTATCTGAGTTAACAATGAATCCCACAATCATCAGACTTGATGCGGGGTACAGCGTCCCATGCAGAGTCCTGCCAGGGATCACTGCAGATAGAGGAAAATAAAATAAGTTGTTCCAGACGCGTCTTGGTCTGCCAGGAGAAGGGGCGATGATTCTCTCTAGCAGAGAATGCCCCAAGCCCTTCTCTTGAGGTGGCTTTTATTGAGAATGTTACGCACAGAGGTATACAGCATGCACACAAAGCTCATCAGTCAATGTCAAAAGGCTATGACTGAAGGAAAACAGAGATTTGCCTCTGGTCAGGGTCTGGTAGACAGGGCGGTGCCCATTTTGGCCCTGAAACTTGGGAAACTGATCACATTCTATGCTTGACCCCAAACATCACTACTCATTAACTTGAGAGCATTCTTAGCAAAGGAGGTTTTGTAAGATTTAATGTATTCCTTTTCCAGGCCTAATTTTCCCCAGGAACTGCCTGATCCAGTTCAATGCTGTACCTGCCTTTAGTATTGTTTCAAGCCTGAGCCGGGTGGGAGATAAGGAGACTTCTTTCAAATAGAATGAGGACTCTGGCCATATCAAAGCCGAGTATTTTCGTTTGCCCCTTCTCTGTCTGCCCCAAGTCCTTCCCTGATGCCCCATGTGACTGTGCCTGTGTTAGGTTGCCCCTGCCATCGAGGGGTCTTACCTATCACTGACTAACCAGCCATCATTCAGGGCCAAGCCGGATGATGTGAGGGAGGCAGGGGCACAGCCAGGAGGACAAGTTTTATCTCCTCAGTGGCCTGTTTCCCAAAGGCCTCCTTGCTCGGCTCCAGCCTTGGGGCCCTCTTGCCTGTTGGTGAGGCTACAGTTCTTGAAACCAGGCGGAACAGTTCCCAACACAAACTAATATGCAGAAAGCATGTGTTCATTTAAGGAGACAAGACATGGGATAAAATGACAATCGGACTGAATGAAATGAAAGGGGTATAAATGTAGAATACAGACCAGGGGACTCAGGGCAACGTGTGCAGAGTCCTGGAAAATAAGGAGACCAATTCTTTATCTTTATTCATATAATAACATATATTATTGAAGTGAATCTGTAATTGGATAGTTAAATTTTCCTAACTCTAAGATGTGTTCATATTTTTCTTATGTTAGTGATATGAAAACAATTAGGATTTAATTTTCATGTTTTGTTTTGAGGTCAATGAAAATAACTTAAGAAAAGCTTACTCTTAGTCTTATCTTTTTTATTCCCTCCCCACTGCTCCAATCTAAGGCTCTTTCCTCTCATAGCCTGTTAATAACTATATCAGTATTATAATACAAGCATATGAGAGAAAAATTTCCTGCTTCTTTCCCATTTGAATCTAATAGGGCTTTTAGCCTCATGATTTTTGCAAAAACATAGTGATGGAGCATTAATTCATTGCACATGTTTATTGAACACCTACTATGTGCCATGCATTGTACAAGGCACAATAGGATTATAGGGTAAAAGAAGACATAGGTGGTCTCTATACTTGCGGAACTTCCAGTCTAGCAGAAAATACAAATTTGGCAGAAAGAACAAGGTATGACAAGGTGTAAAGCTTAGTTCTTCTCCAAAAAGACTGCTTTTCAACCAGACTCATTATAACTGTGATTGCTGGTTTAAAGTGAGTAAAAACTCAACTTTATTGTCTTGATTGTCCTTAGTGGGAAAAAAAAAGTAATATGACCTGTCTCATTACTGAACTCGTCTACTCTCTTCTCCAGCATCACACGAATACAAACTCAGAGTACAGCAGTTTCCATATCACTTATTTACTCACTGAAAGTGGAGTTTTAATACTTCAGTCTATTCAGCTTTCTAGTCTTCTCTTTCAGCTTATGGTTCTCTTAACACTGTTCTCTAGAGTTTGGGCCTAGTCAGAGGGAGAATTAAGCTAAATGAAAGACTCTTCAAGGAGGTACTGAGTTCACTGGCCTAGGGCTTTGGTAGCTCTGGATAGACTTTCTCAATACTCCTTCTAGGTGCCAAGGTGGATGGTAAAAAGTAAGCCTCTACCTATCAGCACCCAAGGTTTTTTAATTTGTTTTTTTTTTTTTCTTAAAAACCATCTTTTCCTGCATGTTATAGTCTCTCTTCCTATTCTCAGTGTAACACAGAAGATATTTTTAGTCTTTTTATTTCTGACTGCCCTTAGGGGTGGTACACGCTCTCAGTATCTCGCTACAGGGGTGGTTCCCCTGCAGTTGTTCTCCATAGGGATGGAGTGGGACATGGTCCCCTGAGAGGATTTCTCACAAACCTGAGAGGTAATTAGGTTTCTATGAGGTCCGGAGGGCAGGGCCCTGTCAGAGGGCATTGCGTCCTTATAAGGAGAGATACCAGCGAGCTCGTTCCTTCTCTCTCTTCACATCCATGCACCAAGGAAAGGCCAAATGAACACATAGAAAGAATGCAGCCATCTTCAAGCTAGTAAGAGGGCTTTCACCAGGAACTGAATTTACCATCACCTTGCTCTTGAATTTCCCAGTCCTCCAGAACTGTGAGAAATAAATTTCTGTTGGTTAAGCCACCCAGTCCATGGTATTTTGTTATGGCGGCCTGAATTGACTAAGACATGTTCATACCAAGAATGATGATCACTGGACAGTGGGAAAAACTAGTAGGACTAGTGGGAAAAACTAGTAGTTTTTCCTGGTACAAAAAAACATTGCTGTGCAAAATTGAATTTAATGGCCCTTGGGGTTATGATCTCGGTGGCATGGGGTTTGGATGAGCTTAGTTTGGCTACTTCAATTTCTCAATGAGTGAGACAAGTCCTTGAATTGTTTCTGAGGAGAAGGTTCTAAGTATCTGAGGCATGGAGCATCATAAGCTCCTAAAAGTTTTTCTTATAGCTCCCTTTTGTTTACCTAGTTATCGCTTATGATAGGGTCTTCATGAGAGTTTCACTCTGATTCAGTGTAACAATATGACAGAGCAGGATCCATTTATTCCCCAATCTAAAAAATCATTTAAATTAATAGTTTAAATTATCCTTTAGTTCTCCTAAGGGATGGTCAGTGGATGGTATTGAATTTATCTTTATTATTTCTAAAAGAGCTACCTACCACTTCACATATTTTTTTTCCTGATTCTGTTTTCATTTGTCAACTAATTTACAGCCCTCTTAGCTCTGATTATATCATTAAACGATGTTATATATTATTCTTCACATAAAATTCTTATTTAATATAATTCTGAAAGACCTACAAATTATTATTATTACTTTCGTAGTGGGATTCTGCTATGTCTGGTACACTGTTGAAAGTCACCTTTACAGGCAGTTTCACATAGACATAGTGTGAAGCTTTTGCTGCAGTTCAAGATAAAAGTTTAAAGTTATTAATCCAAGAGAGAGATGTCTTATGCTCAGGCATGGCACTTTATTTCTCCAGTAAAGTCACGAGTCACATAAATCCTAGGCAAGCCAGTTGGCTAAACTAAGATTCATTTTCCTCTTCTGTCAAAGGGGAAGAATGACCTCCTTGTAGGATTTGTTCTGAGGTTAGAGTTCAAGATCATTGTCCCCGGAGTGCCTGGCACACACTGTCCACTAAGACTCAACATGGGCCTTCTTATCCCAGCACCGGATTGTTTCTCACCTTGCTGTTGTGGATGGCTCAGGCGCTTGTGTTCACTCAGAGGGAGGAGGGATGCACTTGGGGGGTGATTGTGATGAGAGTCAGGATAAAGAACATGAAGAAGTTAAGCTCTGTAGGGAAGATGTTGCATAACCAACACCTTTAAAATGAGAACTTGGGGTCAGAGAGTACATCGGTTCTTCTTTGACAGAATGGTTTTCTGAGACCCCGGTGGAAACAGCTAAGCTGTTTAGAGGACTCTGCTGTAATGAGAGTCAGGGCACGGAGCAGTTACTGCTGCGAAAGTCCGTGCCTGCCGCAGGCCCTGTAGCTGGGGCCGTGGGAGCTCAGCTGGTGGGATAGGCGTGTGGGGGAGCCCACCCCAAGGGACAAAGCTTACTTCACAGTGTGGGAAGAAGACCTGTAAGCTTAGTGCATGACTGTGGAGGAGACAAGTACATACTTTGTAAAAATAAGTTATGTAGGGCTCATGTCTGTGTGGGAGAAATTATATTAGAAAGGCATATAAAATTCCAAAAGTAGAGCTTGCATAATAGGTAACATTTTTAAAAGTGGGAGCTTCACCCTGTAATGAATTAGAGTGCTCTTTGACGCTTGTTTCTCACAAAGTCCCACAAGAAAACCAACAAACTGGAAATCCCACCTGCTGTAAGGAAATAGTAAGTGTATATTTATATTGTGACTGAAACTCTTGCCATTCTTTTCAGGCCTCTCAGTGGAAGAGGAAATCCACATTTTACTCCCAGTCTCAAATTTTAAAATTTTGTTTAAAAATTCTGTTGTGATAAGAACCTTTAACCTGGGATCTACCCTCTTAGCAGGTTTTTAAGTATACAACACAGCACTGTTATCTATAAGCACAATACTGTAAAGCAGATCTCTGGAACCTACTCATCTTGCATAATTGAATTTTATATCCACTGATTAGCAACTTTCCATTTCTCCTCCTCTTAGCCCCTGGCAACCACCATTCTATTTTTTTTTTTTTTTTGCTTCTCTGAGTTTGACTGCTTTTAGACCCTTCATATAAGTAGAATCATGCAGTATTTTTGCCCTTCCGTGTCTCAATCTCAAATTTTTAAAGATTATCATTTTTCCTGATCATGTAATACACAATCACTTTAGAAAACTTGAAAAATACTAAAGGAGAAGGAAATAAACAATCCCACAACACAGAGAAAACCTTCGATCGCAGTTTGGTAATGTTTTAAGATCGCTCGTCTTCTGATACCACCCTCTTTCAGGCCCCTCAGCACCCTCCCCTTCCGGTCCTCTCTCTGTCCTCAGGCTCCCGGGCCCTGCAGCTCCCCCGGGCCCCTCTTCCTTTGAACATCGGGCCCCTCGTGTGGCAGGGCCTGTGCACCTGTGGTGTTCATCCTCGGGCAGGAAAGTGTTCCTGTTTGTTAATTAACCCAGCGCATCCTTCAGATTGCAGCTCAATCATCGCACCTACGCAGGAGTCTCCCACTACCCCTCCCAGCCGCCCCAGCGCTGACCCAGGTAGACACAGTTCTACCGTTACACTCTCTCGTTGTACCTTGAACCTTTGTAACATTGGCCACAGAGGTAAGCACATGCCCTGTTTGTTTCGTATCTATCTCCTATGCACACATAAACTCTAAGATGGGCACGCTCTGCCTGTTTTGCTCCCCAACTTATTTACAGCCCCAAGTACCATAAATGGACTTATAGAAGCTTGTAATACCTTGTATATCTTAGCAGCTTGACAAATCTTCAACCATATTTCCAGTTATTGTTTGACAGTAAGTTTCTAGACATGTGTATTAGTTTATAGGGGTTGCCATAACAAAATACAATAGACGAGGTGGTTAAAACAACAAAAATTTATTTTCTCACAGATCTGGAGGTTGAAAGTCCAAAATCAAGGAGTAGGCAGATTTAGTTTCTTCTGAGGGCTCTCTCCTTGGCTTGCAGATGGCCCCCTCCTTGCTGTGTCCTCACACGGTTTTTCCTGTATGTCAACATATCCCTGGTGTTTCTCTGTGGATCCACATTTCCTCTTCTATTAGGACACCAGTCAAACCGGATGAGAGCCCACCTTAGTGGCCTCATTTTAACTTAATCTTTAAAGGTTTCATCTCCAAATGCAGTCACGTTCTGAGTTACTCACATAGGGCTTCTATATATGAATTGGAGCGGTGGGACACAGCTCAGCCCACAGCAACACTCAACAGATGGCTCCAAACAAGGGAATATTTTAAGCCTCCTAACACATTTTGCGAACAGCTTTCTAGGAAGGTGTGTACCTTTATAGTCCAATCGGCCAGGAATGACAGGCTTGCCTTCCCCTATTCTTGCCACTGTTGGTTTTTATTAACAGACTCTTTTTTTTTTTTTTTTTTTTTTTCCTAACTTGAAGAGCAGAATTGTTCATTATTTCATTTTATATAATCTTTACTAAAAAGCATATACAATTTTTACCTTTTGGTATTTTTTAAATTCTTTATATATTTGTTAACCCAATATATATTTAGTAATCTCATGCTTTGATTAAGGCAAGGTGCTGCATATTACTGGGATTCCAGCAGAGACTGAAACACAGCCCTTGAGTCATGGAGCACACAAGCTAATGGAGAAGAGAGACATGTAACAAAATTACCCAAATTATTGATTACAGTTGTGATAGGTATCATGAAGGAGAAGTATGAGATCCCAGCAGGACTTTTAACAGGGACCTGAACCAATCAGGTTGTAGGACAGGCTTTCTGGGGATATGCAGTTTTGGTGATGATTGAAAGATGATTAGCTATTAGTGAGGTAGAAGTGGTGGGTGAGGTCACAGTCAGAAAGATCAGAAGGCCCTGACTGTGTTGCTCAGTGGATTGACTGCTGGTCTATGAACAGAAAATTTGCAGATTCGATTCCCAGCAGGGCACATGCCTGGGTTCCAGGGCAGGTCCCCAGTTGGGGGTGTGCGGGAGACAACCCATCAATGTTTCTCTCACATATCGGTATTTCTCTCCCTCTTTCTTCTTCCCTTCTCCTCTCTCTAAAAAGAAAATAAAATCTTTAAAAAAAGAGAAAAAAAATCAGAGGGAAACCAAGAGGGTACAGTGTTAGGGGGCCAGGGAAAGAGTGTTTCCAGAAGGGCCCTCAGGGCAACTGGGTTGAACAGTACTGAATTAAGACCAAAATATGCACAGAATTTGTCACATTGAGTCACAAGACAAATATCGTGACCAAAATTAGTTGTGGGTGCAAAAGCTGGATTGGAATGGGTTGGGGAGTAAGAGAAATCGAGAGAGCAAGTGTCACAATTCTTTCAAGAAATTTGATTTCTCTGAACTATTTCTCCTTTGGTCCTTTTCCAATGTGATTTTAACACTGATGTCATTGTATTACATGACCTCTATGATTTTCTATATGTCGGTAAGACATACTACATATTGTCAGAACATTTATTAAACATCAGAATAATAACATGTAGCACATGTTTTTGGTTTTTGCCTATTATTTAACTTTAAGTTGTTTTGATGCACACAGCTTTATTTTTACAGTTAAATTCTTTTTTCCTTATGACTTCTTCCATTGTTCTTCCGCTTAGAAATTCCTTCTTTCTACAGAAATCACATATTCATTTTTATATCATTTATTTAATAGGGAAATTTCATTTTATTTATGATTTGTTTATCTTTAGAGAGAAAGAGAGAGAGGGAAAGGAACTGAGAGAGAGAAACATTGATTTGTTGTTCCACTTATTTATGCATTCATTGGTTATTCTTGTATGTGCCCTGACCAAGGATCAAAACCACCACGTTGATGTGTAGGGATGATACCCTAACCAACTGAGCTACCCAGTCAGGGCTATTTTTTATATTATTTCTTAAACATTTACAGCTTCATTAAAATTATGTGATGATTTTGGAATTTTCTTAAAATAGCAATTCAAGGCTTGGGATGCTTTATTATTTTGCCCTAACAGTGGAGAAGCGACATAGCTAGTCTGGGGGTGCTCTATTTAATGTTTTAATCAATTGTTTCTACCACTTCATTGCAGAAGAAAGGTCTTACTGATGAAAAAGACAGAATTTCAGTTCAGCGTGATAGTAGTTTAGTTAGTAATTTGTGGATATCCAGTCTCTGTGCTAATATTGTACGGTCTTGTTATACTGTAAACATTTTTATTCTATATTTCCAGTACCCTGTGCTTCCCAGAGTCACGTCACCCGACAGCCATCCCAGAAGGCATTCTCACGAGGACCGGGGATTTCGATGTCGTGCTCACACGAGGGATTACAGAAAATGCTCAGGGGATGGGCCATTCAAGGAGCCGTGGGAATCAAAAAGGAGATCCCATTCCAAAATTCAGGCATTTTCAGAGTCCTTTGAACAGCAACTGTGCTCTAGAACCAAACGTTCTCTCTCTTTGGTATGTTACAAAATTATTGAATATTTAAGCCACTTTAGAAAAGGAAACTCAAAGGGTTCTCCTCCCCAAAGTTGAGGAGAACAAATCTAACTTTCTTTTACAGTTTGATGATGAGACCTTTGAAAAATGATACTGTTTTACATAGCCCAGTTGTACATAAAATTATCTTATTATTATTTTTCCTGAAGGTGTCTGGTGTGGGAAGGATTCCTGGAGGGCCATGAGTGGAATGCTTTTGCTATCCAGGTCCTCTAGTTCTTTGAGACAGCTTTTGTCACCTTTAGTATAAGTCATTGTGGCTCACTCTATTTTCACTACTTGGAGAAGGGAAAAAAACGGCTCCCGCTTCTCCTGTGCCGTATTTAATCCAGTAGCAAGTAGCCTGTGATGGTGTCATGTTCCCCTGGAGTTTAAAAAAGCATGTTGAGGGAACTTCTGGACACTGTCTAGTATGTAAGGGTGGTCCAGATGTTCACAGTGGCCTCAGGGGAGGCTCAGTAAAGCACATGGGAGACAGTCAGGGAAACAGAAGAAAGAGGCTCCACTGATGATGCCAAACTTGATAGATAAGGTAATAAACTAGAGATCAATGAATGGGGGGGGGTGCAGTTAATTTGGGGCAACATGCTCATTGAACGGCCTTGCGCAAATCCTTCTCTTTTTCTTTTGTGGCCCTTGGTGTTTTTTTATTTTGCAAAACAGGAATATTATGTTCTGTCATATAGTAGAGCAAATAGGTAAACGTAGGTGCATAACTACTTGGTTCTTGTGCTCTGCTCTGTGCACAGGGCAAGACACTCCAGTGCTTCCTACCTCCTGGACCATCTGAGCACAGTGCTCTCTGCCTGGCAGTCATGGCCGTTGGGACTGTTACTGTGCATCTTTGCCCCACTTTTTTCAGAGTGACCCTGTGCATCTGTGCTCTCCCTTTAGTAAGCTCCTCTCTTCACCTGATCATAAGAGGAATATGGAACTCTTATCACCTCAAGAGTTCCTGTTTTGTCCTTTCTTTATACTGCTGCTTTTTAAAAAGAAATGGTTTCAGATTTAGAGCAATGTTACAAGAATAGTATGAAGAATACACCCTTCATCTAGATTCCTTCCAAATGTTAGCATGCGTCAAATGTTAACGTAAATGCAATGGAAAACATATTTACCTGTACCCTCTCTCTCCTTTCCAACCCCAAACAAGGGCAGAAGAATGTTCTCGTAGATGAACACAGCACAATAACAAAACTCAGGATAAGTTCCATGGGAAACTCAGGAAATTACCACCAGTGTAATACTTTTGTATCTGATCTATTGACCTTATTCATGTTTTGCCTGTTGTCCTGACTGTATTCTTTATGACAGATTCTAGATCATGTGTTGCAAACAATTCACTCTCTTTATTTTATTCTGAAGCAGTTCCTTGGTCTTCACTTGTCTTTTCCAACACTGTCATGTGAGGAGTTCAGGGCAGTTATTTTTCAGAATAACGTTCAATTTGGCTTTATCTGATATTTCCTCAAAATTAGATTCGGATTATGAACTTTTGGCAAGAATAAAACAAGTGAAAGGATTTCTGTTTTAAAACTCTGTGCTACCCTGGCCAGTGTGGAGTGCTCTCCTGTGAACCCAATGATCATGGGTTCAGCCTTGGTAGGGACACTCACAGGAAGCAAACGATCAATGTTTTTCTCTCACATCGATGTTTCTCTCTCTGAACGCAATGGGAGAAAAATGTCCTCAGATGAAGATTAAAAACAACCAAACAAAAGAAGCCCTACATGTTAAAGTGATTAATTATATTCATTCAGGAAATTTACCTGCCTTAACTTCCTCTTGGAACAGGCCTGCTCGATGGGTTGAGATCTCGCCTGCATGCGAGAGGTGTTTCTCTCCCTCTTTTTTTCTCCCTTCCAAAATAAAAAGAATCTTTAAAAAATATTCTTTCTGGGGCAAGGTAGGGTATGCACATACATATACTTAAAAAAAATTTAAAGACTTCTTTGTTGATTCTAATGGCCTCAAACATTTTTCACACAACACATAATCTCATATAACTGCTTATGTGAAACCAATTGCTAATACTATAAATCCTGTAAGTGTGTAATGTGAAATCAGTTTTTATTGAAAGAGATATTTATCACATTATTCCTAAAATATAACATGTTGTTCCATTCATTTCTCATGTTCTTCCTTTTAAATGCCAAGATAACCAAGGCACCATTTTCAACTTCTTCTTCTTCTTTTTTTTTTTTTGCCTAATAACTCTTTCCATAGGTATATACTATAGTAGCTGAAACCTGCTAGGAATTTACAAAACTATTAAATTTTTTCATATGCTAAAATATTTATAGTAAATAATTTTGTTAAATATTTTATTTTATATTAGTTCTTAAATGGTATATTATAAAGTATCTCAATGCAAAATTAAAAATTTAGAACAGGTATACAGACACTTTAAAATGTTTTTCTGCTTAACAAATGATACAACTTTCTAAAGCTAATTACATTAAAAAGTATAATTTGCTGGTAAACTTAGAAATGATATTATCTTTTGTTTGGGGGCCAAATGGAAACTAACATGTAGATCTAAGTTTTATACCTTTTAGTATCCAAAAGAACAAGAAATTGCTTTTGTAGTTGATCATGGTCAATGATATTAAATTCTTTCATTTTGATATTGAAAATCTCAGTTGGCTTATACTGATCATTTGCACATTTTGTTTCTAAGTGGCTACAATAAGAAAAATATTTCAGGTCATTATTTATAAGCATTCCTCAGTCTTAACACTCGATAAGGAAAAAAGTCAAATTGGAAATAACCATCATTATTTTTTAATACTATTCTTTTAAATATTAGAGACATTCATGACTGCCAAATATAAATTTTGATCAGACAGACGTACGTAATGCAATTGCTGGATCTAATGAAAATAATCTGGAGGCTCATTTATAGAGGTAGTACAGATTTTAGGTTGCTCTTAACTTGTACCTCAACTTCGTCATTTGTTGTGCTTTCTGACTTTGACTAATGGACCATTATAGGCAGAAATGACACAATCTAAGTGCTGTATAGAAACAGGTAACATTGTAGAGTAACCGACGCCCCTGCAGGGCCGAGTCCTGACCCGCTCATCTGACCACCACTCACTACTGTTTAAGTTCACTTGACAGGCTTTTCAAGATCGAATGGAGGAGGAGGAGAACAATGACTTCATTTCTTTACTCCAAAAAAGAGAAGTGTAAATAGGTGGCATCACCACATTTATTAATGCCTTTTTTGTTGTTGATCATTCCTTTGGAAAGCACTCCCTGACCATGGAAACTAAAGAAGCATTCCTCTCCCCCAGCCTCCCTACTATCAGCCGTTCCCGATCATACCATCCTGTTCATAGTCATTGCACTTATCACTATTTGTTATTCTCTTGTTTCCTTTTAGACTTAACTGTCTCCTTCCACCTAGGTATAAAATGTAAGACGCTGAGTCTCTGTATCTCCTGATCCTAATGAATATGGACCCTTGGGTAACCTGTTGGGAACTGTTAATGGGCTTGGACGTTATTTTGACACCTCAGTCATCACTGAGTCCTCACATTAAAATGAGTGCAAACCCTACCATTAATATAATTTAAAGGAATGGACACAGTAAGGTTAGAATCATTGCACGTATGATTCACTTAGCACATTCCTTTAAAAAAGCACCAGGAGACTATAATTTTACCATACCGTGACATCGTATCCCTCCTTATGTCAGAGGCAAGGAGTCAGTCATGTGCAGATTGAGTTCCCTCCATAGACGCCTCTCCCCTCCTTTATTTTTTATTTATGACTAAAACCCTTAGCACCACCCTTAGGCTTATGCTAACTTATTATAAGAAACTAAGGTGTGGAAGTCTGCTCAATGATCAGGCCTTTCTTCATTCCCGGTAATTAAGGGAAATGCAGAACGTTGTCAGCCTTCGGCACATTGTTACGCTTTTCTATCTTTCTCTTCCAGGGACCTGAGAGCAGAAAGGAAAAAAATGAAAGAGAATGCCTGCAGACGGAGATGAGATCCCGCAAGGAAGGGGAGGAAGGAGGGAGCTCTAGGAAAGAGGACTGCAGAGGAGCATACACGGCTCCTCTCTTTGAAGAAGGAGCCAAATAGTACTTTATTTCCACATTACGACTACACGTGCTACTGTGTGTTTCGAGTGCAGGGCGCCGTGGCTGGGGCGGTAGCTGCGGAAGGTCGCCTGCAGGCCTTAGAGTGACGGAAGGGGTGCCGCTGCTCCCCCAGGAGAGGCGCATCGCAAGGGGCGCATCACACTCCCTCTGCTCTGGCATCTTAGTCGAGAGTTGGATCTGCTTTGCTGCCCTTTTATGGGAATAAGAAGAATAAAACGTATTTTAATAGAACAAAGTCATTCCTGAAAATGTAAAGAAAGATATTTAAAGAGCCGCCCACACACCTTTACCAACCCTTCTTCCACATCGTTATCACAAAAATCTTAAATAACGTCATTAGTGTGACTCGAAGTACACTTCCTTATTAGAATTATGTAAGTATGTCTAATGGCCAGCATTTAACGAGAATGGTCATTAACATGCCAAGTATTCAACTGAGGTGTTTAAAGCATTACCTACATCAGTCCTCACTACCCTAAGGTGGGACCTACTCTTCTTCTCTTCACTTGCTGGCTGAGGAAACAGATGTTTAGAAACGTTTAGGACCTCACCGCCGTGGCGGCAGAGCCCCGGCCATTCTGACACGCTCCTAACCTGAGGCGGGGCCTCATTTCCCCTCAGCAGTGGGTCCTGACCAAGTGGGCCACGTGTGGGAATGAGCAGTGTGAGAAGAGCAGGTTACCATTTTTATTACATGGGTGGAGACAGATTCTCTGAGGGCTGCTTCATGTTCTTGGTTATAACTTTATGAGGCCATATTCTTCTACATTTACTTATTAATTCTTTTTATTGAAATAGAATTGCTATTTAACATTATATTAGTTTCAGGTGTGCAACATAATGACTTGAGATTTCTATATATTGTGAAATGATCTCCCCAACGAGGCCAGTTAACATCCATCACCACACAGTTACTATTTTTGTTCTTATGATGAGAACTTTTACAATCTACTTTCTTAGCAATGTTCAAATATACCGTACAGTATTATTAACTATGGTCACCATGTTGTCTATTCCATCCCATGACTTATTTTTAAAATTGGGAACACCTCATGAATTTGCCTGTCATTCTTGTGTAGTGGTCATGCGAATCTTCTCTGTGTTGTTCCAGTTTTAGGAATGTGCTGCTCAAGTGCTCATACAGTGTTTTTCTGGTTTCAGCTTTATTAAGGTATAATCAACAAATAAAATCGTACATATTTAAATTGTACAACACAATGATTTGATATATGTATACTTCAGGAAATAATTATACAATCAAGTTAATTAGTCCATTGAGACCATATTCTATTACTATCCCCCAGCCCACCCCCCCCGCCCCCGCCGCAGCCTGGAGGAAAAGACTCTAGCACTCTCTAATACTCCCCTGATTTATTCTTTGTCTCTGTCTTGGATCTTCAAATGCTCAAGGGCATCTAGTCTCCATATAGTAAAGAAGAACGTCTCCCAAAACTACTACTTATAACTAATAGTGTAACTGAATGATTAGGTAAGCTACAAAATAACTTTGACAGAGACAGTAGAAACAAGGAAAAGGAGACGGAAAGAAGAAGAAAACAGTGAAGGAAAAGTAAAATAAGGATGATCTTTGACCTGAATTCTTTCAATTTTTGTACTGCTTATACCTTCATCCATTTTGTGGCCTTTATATATAGTTTTATGCATTTTGACCCAGGGAAAGGAAAGCTTTTAGACGGTGATGTTGGCCTGTTATTTTCCACCACTGGGGGGAGGATGGGAGGGCATTACGCTACAGTTGTGGGGTAAACAGTTGTTTCCCCAGCTTTCCTCCAGGCACTTTCGGTCTTGCCAACCAAGATTCAGATTTGGGGATGGTCTGCTCCTCAGCTCTGACCCCTATGGAAAGGGCTGGGAGAGGTGGCCCTTCCATGGGAAGAGGGGACAACTGGATGGAGTGCCCTCAGCCCAGCGGCTGGCTGGCTGAGACGTAGCCACCTCCTACTCCCGCCGGAACACCTGTGAAGGTTCTTCTCCTCCCTGGACTCAACAACAGCAGGATCTGGAAAAATCAGGATTAGGAATTTTATAATATATTTCATCAAACTGGAAGGAAATCCATTTCCACCATATTTTCAGGACCATAGTGCACGGAGGAGGCAAGACTTTCTGAAAATGAAGACTGCAGCTTATTACCTTCTTTATATCACAAACAATACTTCTCCTAATAAACACTGCAGATAAAGAAAAGAAGAAAAATTAAAATCCTTTCATTATACCTACCCAGAAATAAATATGGTTAATACTTTGGTATATGTCTTTCCAGAATATTATCTCTGTATATACACACACAAACACATTAAAAAACTATTTTTCAGACATGAGCTCCTTTCAGTTAATATATTGTTAATATCTTATCAAATCAATAAAATAATCTAGTGGATAATTAATGGTTTCTTTCCAATAACCTTCAAACATGCTCAAGCCTCTTCTTTCTCAAAAACTTTCCTTTATACCAATAGGTACCATTCTTGGTGTCCAATGGTTACTACCTTAACTATCTTTTCTTTCACAGACAACTTCTTGAAGAGTTATGTTCTCGACTTTCAGTCTGCAACAATGTGACTCCTCTTCTTATGCTCTATACAAACTGTTCTCATCAAAGCCACCCATGACCTCCTTTACTGTCCAATGAATTCTAGGGAAACATCACTTTACTTCCTTTGCTTGATGTTTGGGCTGTATCTGACATGGCTCAACAACCTTCCCCTCTTTGGCTGTCATGACCTATATTCTTCTGGGTCTTGTACTCTCTAATCACTCCTAGCTGGTTTTTGGTGTGTGACCCCTATCTCTTTTAGTTTTTCTAAGTATATTTTATTGATTAGGCTATTACAGTTGTCCCATTTTTTTCTTCCCTCTCTACCCCTCCACCCTGCATCCCTCTCCCTCCAGCTTTTCCCCTCCTTAGTTCATGTCCATGGGTCATACATAAAAGTTCTCTGGCTTCTCCATCTCCTATACTATTGTTAACCTCCCCCTGTCTATTTTGTACTTAACAATTATGCTTCTTATTCCTTGTACTATTTACCCCATCCTCCCCGCTCCCAATACTCCCTCCCCCTGATAACCCTCCATGTGATCTCTATTTCTGTGATTCTGTTCCTGTTCTAGTTGTTTGCTTAGTTTGTTTTTGTTTTTAGGTTCAATGGCTGATATTTATGAGTTTTGTTGTCATTTTACTACTCAGAGTTTTGATCTTCTTTTTCTTAGGTAAGTCCCTTTAACATTTCATGCAATAAAGTCTTGGTGATGATGAACTCCTTTAACTTGATCTTATCTGGAAAGCACTTTATCTGCCCTTTCATGCTAAATGATAGCTTTGCTGGATAGAATAATCTTGGATGTAGGTCCTTGCCTTTCATGACTTTAAATACCTTTTTCCAGCTCTTCTTGCCTGTAACATTTCTTTTGAGAAATCAGCTGATAGTCTTATGAGAACTCCTTTGTAGGTAACTGTCTCCTTTTCTGTTGCTGCTTTAAAGACTCTCTCCTTATCTTTAATCTTGGGTGATTTAATTTTGATGTGTCTTGGTATGTTCCTCCTTGGGTCCAACTTCTTTGGGACTCTCTGAGCTACCTGGGCTTCCTGGAAGTCTATTTCCTTGGCCAGATTGGGGAAGTTATCCTTCATTATTTTTTTTGAATAAGTTTTCAATTTCTTGCTCTCCATTTTTTCCTTCTGGCACCCTTATGATTTGGATGTTTGGACGTTTAAAGTTGTTCCAGAGATCCCTAAGCCTTTCCTCATTTTTTTGAATGTTTGTTTCTTCTTTCTGTTCCAGTCGAATGTTTATTTCTTCCTTTTGTTCCCAATCATTGATTTGAGTCCCAGTTTCCTTCCCTTCACTGTTGGTTCCCTGTATATTTCTTTTTATTTCACTTTGCATTGCCTTCACTTCTTCTATTTTGTGTCCATACTCAATCATTTCTATGGCATCCTGATTACCAGTGTTTTGAACTTTGCATGTGGTAGGTTGGCTATCTCCTCATCACTTAGTTCTTTTTCTGGAGTTTTGATCTGTTCTTTCACGTGGGCCATACTTCTTTGTCTCGGCACACCTATTACATTGTAAGAGGAAGGGCCTAAGGTATTCACCACAATGGGACAACCCACTTTGCTGTATTGTGGGACTGTATTTGGGAAAGGGGTCAGAGAGGGAACAATGCCATTTGCTCCCCTCTCACCCCACTTTCAGTCACTTTGCCTGCTACCCACAAGCAAATTGGGACCTTCTGGTACTGATTCCAGGGTGGGTGGGCTTGTGTACATTCTAGGACCCTGTGGGTCCCTCCAATGGACTCTCCTGTGAGGCTGGCAGTTTTTCCCACCACCAAAATCCCCACAACTCCCACAGGTTTTTACAGCCAGAGGTTTGGAGGCTTTATTTCCCTGCACTGGAACTCTGGATGTGAGGCCTGTCTCGCTCCCCAGTTGTTCCTCCTAGTTTATCCGCTTGCGAATGTGGGACCACTCGGTCTGCCAGCCGCTGCCTTGCTGTGGGACCTCTCCACCCAGGCTGCCTGTCGCTGCTCCTTCCACCAGTCTGGATAAATGTTTCTTCTTTAACTCCTTGGTTGTTGGACTTCCACACAGTTCAATTTTCTGGAAGTTCTGGATGTTTTTTGTTTTTAAATTGTTTGCCGTCCATTTTTTGATTGTGTGAGGAAGCAAAGCATATCTATCTCCATTTTGGCCTGGACATGATCATTATCTTTTGGATAATGGTTTTCCTCTAGACTCTGACACTTCCTTACTTCCTTTAATCTCCCTGGCCAATCTCAGACATTCATACCATGTCAGCAATGTGTGTGTTGATAATCCTCAAATCTATTCCTGTGGTGCAGACCTCTGTCCCAAGCACTACAGTCACATACACAACTGGCCCTTGGACATAGAACTAGTTGCAGGCTTCAAAGGCATCTCACACTCTCTTTTAAAAGTTAACTATTACTTCTTGCTCTGTCTGCCCCCAATTTGCCTGCCTCCTATATTCCCTATCTCAGTGAATGGTATTAAGATTTACCAGTTGGTAAGCAAGAATCTGGTCAAGTTTGAAGCTATCTTGTACTCTTATGATCCTCCATCCAAATAATCATCAACTTCTGCCTATTTTGCTTCCAAATATCACTTAGATCTACGAGACTCTCTCCATTTTCATTGCCATTACCCCATTTTAGGCCCTTTATATCTTGCCTTGATTCCAACAAAATGATAATATTTTGGATATATTTAATGAAATAAAATAGATTAAAATTAATTTCTCTTGTCCCCCACCCTGTTTTTAATGTGGCTGCTAGAAAATATTACATCTATGTCTCATATTATATTTCTATTGGACAGCACTGATCTATATATCCTAACTCTCAGACCTTCTTTTGCATTACTTGAATTTTACTTTTTAAGTTCTCCTGAGCTTAAGAAAGTATTGGAATTTAAATATTTCCTGCTATCATTTGGGGTTAACTGCCTAATACTAGTTACAGCATTTTAAAGTTTGTTATAACTCATTCTGTCCTTCCTTTCTTCCATCCTTCCTTCTTTCCTTCTCTCTACAAATAAAAGTTCCTTGGTCCTTTCATATTCCCTTTTGTGCTATAGAATAACTCATGTAGGTTTTATCATGTAATGATTTCCTTACATGTCTTTCTTTCCATCTAGACTATGAACTCTTAGTAACAGGAACCACATCTTAATAATCTTTGCATTCCCAGAACTTAGTAAGTGCATATCATATAGTAGTAACTCAATATATATAGCTTAGAGTGAAAAATTGTATTTGTAGTTAATATTTTCCCCTTAAAAAATGGAAATTTTTTACCTTACAAAATCAATATCTGACACACTTTCAAATAATGCAGAAGCATATATATATATGGAAAGTAGCGGTCCTCTGGAAAAGCCCTGTGTCAGAATTATGATCTTAATACAGTTCACAGTAACAGTCAAGACACTCTGGTTTCTCTACTCCAGGGGGCAGACTTGAGCTGACATTTGTACGGGTTATGGACACAGAGCAGCCTAGGTGTTTGGCCAAGGACAAAATCATTACCATTACTTTCTAACAGAAAAGAGACAACTGCATCATTTCTTATCAAAACTCTCAGAAGTTAGATT